ATTCGAGTTTCTTCGTCAAATATTATTAATAGTAACTACAAGTTGGCGTCTACTACATTCTTTTCTTTCTTTTAAAAGATATTTTACTTTTATGTTGATCTTATTTATTTTATCGTTACTATAGTTAGCTTCCAGTAGACTGACGGGAGACGACAAGTGATTTTTCTATTGAAATACTCTAAATGAAGTCTGGTGATAACAGGATCTACTGAGTTTTCTTGTACATGACTGTTGAAGTAAAAAATCAACAACAAAATAAAGGGGGCTTAATAATTAGCTAACTCTTTTTCTAAAACAATTCTCTGATTGGTGCCTACTTAAAAAAATCAGCGTCCTCTGTCTCACAAAACAAATTAAATGGCAGCGCGCTGAACTCGTATGCAAAACTTCCTTTGATTGTCATTAACTAATAAATCATATTATTTCGACAAGAATAATTTGTATAAAGTAAGAATAACAGTTGTATAGTCTCTCCGAGTCAATTGTTTCTTTCGTCTGAATTGGTAAGACAATAAGTTTTTTCTTATTGAAATGAGTTTATGAAAATTGTTCGTCTTTATAAGAAAGTTGCATTATCATTGTCGAAAATTAGTTTTATCTTTCTATCAATTAGATCGTTGAACTCAATGACAAAAAAAAACACATCAATACTTTTCATGTACTTCAAAAATCTTTAAACATTATATAAACCTCCCTCTATATTAAAAGACCCTTCCATAATAGAAGACCCGGGTCTTCAAATTAAAAATAAATTTTTAAGTTATTAGTTTTTTTCATTAAATTGTCCATATTATTGTGTGTTGTGCAACGAAAGATACAGAAGAATTGAAAATATAGTAATAGCTCGTTTATGCACATCTACAAAATGTTTTCTTCACGTGAAAATAGACACAAATCGACTAATATTAAAAATAAGAGGACAATCAGAACGAAGATGCAGAAAATTATATGTGAATACACCGGTCCCATTTAACATCGAGAGCAACAAAAATTGAAACAACTCAATTTGCATCAATTTGTGAACAAAAACTATTTGCAGTTATTGTTTGTGTTTTTCTATTTTTATCAGAGTCGGAGTTGAAAAGGGCTGAGTTATAACTTGAGTTACAACTTTTGAGTTATAAATAATCAACTTTTCGGTCCAAAAGCTATTTTGGTTATAACTTTAAACTGTGGTTATAATATTTAACCGTGGCTAATGTAAGTTATTATTTCAAATCTGTCAACTGGGTAGAATTTCTATCTCTTTAATATTAATGAGTAAATGAACCGAAGCCGTATTTTACAATATAGTTCATACCATTTTATCATTACCTTCTAAAAAATTCGTATTATCTCCTGAAATAAAGTTCAATTTTTAATTAAGAACTATCTGTCAAACAATGGCTTCAGTTCAGTTACTCATTAAGAATAAAGAGAGAGAAATTCTATCTAATTAACAGAATTGTGATAATAACTTATATTAACCACGGTTAAATGTTATAATCAAGGTTGAAAGTTATAACTACGGTTGTAATCATTTTAACTTTTCAAAATCTCATATTAAGTCCCACTCTGATTTTTATTTTATATTTATTAAATTATATAATCATGACGAACGATATTCCCTGAAACTTCACAAAATGTGATATTGATTTTTGGTAGTTTACGCTCCCAAATTCATATTATAAGGCCACCCCATAATAGAAGACCCCTTTAAAAGATTGATCCGCAAAAAATAATAGTAGACTAGGGAGTCTTTTATTACAGAGGGGGGTTCACAGTGGGCTATAATACTCACAATATCACAGCGACACTCAGTCACATATCTGTGCCCACACCTACCATTTCTCTAGGCACAGACCATAATTGCATAGTTCCTACCGATTTAATTCAATTGATAGAACTCACCGTCACTTATTGGAAGATTTCTTGAGTAGCTCTTTTTACCTTTATTTTGAACGTATAAGTATACATACACAATCACAATGACATCAAGCATAATAAAATATAGGAAAAGCGAAACGAACAAATATATATGATTATGTACGTGCAGGGTATTATATGAGAAAGCAAACACAAAAAAGACGACGATATATCCGCGAAGATATTATATAAGAAAGAGACATGTTTTAAGGTTGAACACATATGAAAAATCAAGAAAACGTCAACGCATTATGCGGCATTTTTAAAGTTTCATTGTGAACGATAATAATCAGCGGTAAGTCCTTGTACACTAGCATTTTGTTAAACTAAAGAGTTGTATTCGATTATTTCCTCCATCAGTAATCAATAGATTACCATATCTATCAAACACGATTTGTTCAAGCCCATTGAATTGATTTGATGCTGTTCCTTGTGTACCACCGACGATTGTAGTACCACTTGTCGCATTTTGCAACCAGCGTATAACACGATTGTTACCTGGATATGAAGAACAGTAAAACGAGTTTTTTAATCTATGGAGTATTTTCTTTTCTCAAAATTGCTCTTACCTTGATCACCTATATAGAGACTTCCACTACTGTCGACCACTATAGATCTTGGACTATTCAACTGATTCGCTGCACCTCCACCTCCATTACCTCCAGCGACAACTGTTCCATAAGTTGCACTCGTTGAACCTGATGGAAATTTCATTATACGATAATTATTTTGATCGGTAACGTACAAAGCATTTGTATGTAAATAATCATAGTAAACACCATTTGGTGTTAAAAACTGATTCAAAGCATTCCCATAACCATTGCCACCTATATATGAAAATAAAATCAATATTAAATGAAAGATTTCTTTGAAGATCGTTATATACCTGCTGCAACCACTGGTGGTCCACTGCCTCCAACAAACTTGTATACCACACTACCAGTATTGCTAAGTACATAGATATCATTGGTCAATTGATTTACGGATATTACTGTTGGTGTATCTATAGAAGCGAGAAGTGTTCCAGATGTCGCTGAATTTGAATTTGATGGAAATCTAACGATCTGGTTGCAATTGTAATCTGCTACATACAATTGACCAGAACTATCACGACCTACTCCAGAAGGATTATTAAGCTGATTCATATTGCAACCCTGGCCATTACCTCCAGCAATTACTGTTGCAACTGAAGGTGAACTATTAAGAGAAAACTGTAGAACACGAGAATTTCCTTGATCGGCAACGATTAATCGATTATTGGGTTGGTCATAATACATTCCATTTGGAGAATTAAGAAGAAAAAGGGTAGAACCAGATGTACCTGCTTGGCTGCCAAATATCGTAGTCGCTGTTTGTGACCATGTCGATTGAGAAGATAGGTGGCATACTATTAAAAGTCAAAAAAAGAGCAATTATTTTATTATTCAACACTGACAAATCAGCTAGATATGTTATATTGGAAAGTGGGTAGAAATAGTTCATAGATATGCTATAGTAATGTCTATAGCATTTATTTGCTTAGAAAAATATGATATGTGTTAATGCATGTGATGCATAAGATCGTCAGCTATGCAGATAAAGAAGCTGAGTATTTATATTTGATACTTTCGATGCTACAAAGACGATAAAAAAGTGAACCATTACATGGTCTATCTCTACACATATTCTCAATCAACAAGCTAATTATGAATAGAGCTTATTAAAACAGGAGAACATTTTTTTCTAAATCTACTATATTCATACTAACCAGGTGGAAATCGTGTTCCAGCAATAATAATCATAGTAGTAACGTCCGCATCAGCCAGCATATTTTCATCTTGGTTCAGTATATCAGCAAATAATTCACAACTACAAGTTGATCGATGAAACGTAGCTGCTGTGCATTGACTTTGAGCTAAACAGGCTACTTGACAATCCTTAATATTTGGTGTAATAACATTAATGAATGGTAAACAAGTTGTATTAGCACATTGAAATATGCAATCAGGCATTAAAGACATTTCCACGAATCTTATATCTTCTTCTACTGCTTGTGTAATAATCATAAAAACAAGCCACAGACAAATTCTTTTTGAAGCCATTACCAATTGAATTGCAAGTTGATGAAATGAATTTAACTAAGAATAAAAGAAAAAGAATCTGTTGAGCGATAGACACTTTTGTTTTTTTTCTTCTTTTTCTCTCTCGTTTTCTTATTTTATTCTATCTGTCCAATGGGAGAGCTAGTCATGACTTTTATTTAATTTTTTAAAAATACATCTGTTTTGAAAGATGATTTTTCTTTGTTGATATTTTACTTAGAGACAAATATATTCACAGACAGATCGTTTTTTGTTATATGGAAAATGAGCAAAGATGAAAAAGCATATAGAACAATCGACTGAATAAAAATTGAATTTGAAAAGAGAATAATCAATATCTAGTCGCATATAAAGTTTTTCTTATTAAAAGAAAAATTATTTAATTGAAATTTAACCCATTGTGTCCATGTATAAATTAGATAGTCATTATCAGTCAACTCTCACGTCATCTTTATATAGAATAAAGAAAAATGAATAATCCTCCAGATTCAAACGCACTGAATTTAAATTTTACAATTGACTCCAACACAGAGTATGACAATATTTCCACAATCTCTCTTTTGCTATTCTGTAGTGTCATTTCTATTCTTTGTTTTTTGATCGATAAAAGAATATTACGGGATGTCATTCAATACATAATCACATTTTCTTTCATTAATGTAAAAATGATGTAAACAGTTAGGATTCATATCTATTTATGCTAGTATTAACGAAAGATAAAACATCTTGTTTATTAGATACATAAAATAAACCGTTTTTTTCACTATTCTATAGTGAGTTTAATAATTTTTTATCATAACAACACATTTCAAACATTTTTTTTCTCAAGGAAAAATATTTATCCGCTAAAAAGCTGCTTTTCTTTTCTTTTCTTTTCCTTCGTTTATATGCTGCTGTGATATATAATGTATGAAGTAGAAGACAAAGTTAGTTGGACAATCTTTTTGGTTATTCTCAAAAAGAAACGATAGAAACAGACAACTTGTTGAAAGATCTAGTTTTGATGTAATTACAATAAGAAGAAGTACATGAGTGTTGAGAAAAACGATGATGGTAGCATATACAAACTGTTTGTGGATGGAAAACGGCATTTTCATAATGACACCAGAAAAATTACTAAATAAAGTTGATGACGTCTTTATTTTCTTTTGATATTTCAATGTATTATACAAGAAACACTCGTCTGGAGACACGACCAACTTTTTCTTATAGAAACAATGTGTCTTCACTACCGGTAAACTATCTAATCAAACAATTTCAATAAACTGACTTCAGATTTGAGTTCTTCTATTTCGATAACCCTGCGATAAACTCTTATAAATATTTTTTTTGTAAAAAAGGTGATCCTTTGTTTAAAGAAATTGATGCTTGCAAATATCTTAAAAAACTAACACCAGATTTGGATTCCTCGATCCCGATTATCTTTGATCAAACTTTATAGGGAAGACATTTTTTTGTAAAAATGTGGTCCTTTGTTTAAAAAAATTGGTCCTCAAAAAAATCTTAAAAAACTAACGTCAGATTCGAGTTCCCCGACCTCGATTACCCTTCGGTCTACCCTTATAGCAAGAAAGTATTAGAGGTTTTAATTAACCAATCAGAGTGAACGAACGAACGAACGTACTTAACTCACTCTGTGTAATACCCTCCTTTCAGTTGAGAGAATAAAGCTCAGTGTTTTAACTTCAGAAAATGATTTTTATGAGCTATATAAACAGTTTGTATTGTTTATTAATATACTAAACGATAAATCGAACGATAAGTATTTTTATTTATTTAAACTTTTCTTTGATTTTTAGATCATCTATAACAATAAATCAAATGGGAAGTAATTTCATTTATTTAAATTTTTTTTTTTAATTCGTAGATCATCTATAATGATAAATCGAACGGTAAGTATTTTTATTTATTTAAATTCTCGTTCTTTATTTTTAGATTATCCATAACAATAAATTAAATAGTAAGTATTTAGTTACACTAGGACGACAGACAGGAGTGAGGAACGGAAGGAGTGAGAGATGGTAACAGAAAGCTGCTGTCTCTTCAGATCATACGCCCAGATACAGACCGAAAGGGCTCGTATTTTAACCGTATACCGCTTTAAATATTCTGTTATTGCATCATTTATGGACCGTTTTCGGACCGTGAACGGCTCCGTTTAGATGGACCTGGGTGCTCTCATGTATAAAACGGTATGGATACGGTTCATCGTAATTCACCGGATACGACCTAAAACGGCGCCGTTTCCGTTCCGGCAAGATTACATATACAAATTTGAGTATACGGATTACGGTGTTAAACGGCGGGAAACGACATTCGTTCACAGCCGTTTCCTGCCTGAAACGATGATCGGAATCATCGCCCTAGGTATAAACTAGTACCGACAAAACCAAATGTACACAAGTGGGCAATAGATTTGAACGCTCAGGTAATAATAATTCTATAGTTCGAGTTGTAAGATAATATTTTGCGTTCTATTATAGGCATACAGATGTTTTCTTTCGTTCACAAATCAAATGTTACAAATGGAATGGACAAGTGAAATCAACTGTCAGATATTTGCAAAAGCCCTTTTATAACAATTCCCAGAACGATGGTTCCTGAAGCAGGATTCCATGAATTTCTGGCGAAAACCCTGAGGAAACTCGCCATTTCTGGGCGGAACCCGCTCGGAAAATGCCAGGAATCCGATGGAGAAGTAAGGTAACCGTATTCGGCTGCCGGTTTTGACATGTTCCTGTGGGTTTCGGCCCAAACCATATAAATGCGGTCACCAGATCCGTTCAACGGGAATACTGCTTCCATGAAATCTCCGGAATATAATGGAACCGGCCGTTTCCGTGCCGGATTGTTCGACCTGGGTCAATCTTATTTGGCCTAATGACTTACCACTGGCTAGTACCAATCATCCCCCAGTGGTTATTAACATTGCTACCAGAGTCATGTCATTATCATTATATAAAGTGGAAGAACTGGAAGAAATATTTAAAAATGATAAAAAAAATCATCATAAGAAAATGTTATTCAAATAAATTTCATTAATGGTTCATATAAAGACTTCATTCTTTTAAAATTCTTCTGTAACTGTTAAATATGATTGAAATATTGAAACATATGCAAGCTAACAATCTTTTTTTTTCTGTATGATGAATCTTATTAAAGTTGGAAAAGGGTTTAATTAATAAATAAATTCATTATCATTAGTAAATAATTGACTTATTTTGTCTTTAAAATATTTAGCATTGAGAGGAGAAAGTATTATTTTTTGTTACAACATTGAAGGGTGTGGGTCTGCAATGGATATAATATTCAAACCCACACTCATACCCTACGGCTGTTAATTCATTGGTATCCAGATAAGTATTACCAATCAGTTGTCGAGCATTAGCAAAAACTTTATTCACTGTTCCGTCTGCATCTCTTATCAATTTACTTTTATCCATTTCTATCAAAAACATTAAAATAATCACACATTTTATCTGTTTTATAAAATAATTACATTGTATCTTATCGTATTGCATTTTTATCAAATAATTCGATAGTTATATACATATCTTATTTTATTTTATTTTATTTAGTTCATTGTAAAATTTAAACAATCATATTTTATGTATATTTTCATCTAATAAATTAAAGCATTAGTAAAAAAACAAGAAAGAATTTTATCTTTACTTGAATTAATATTATACATTCAGTTAAGTAAAAGGAAAGAGATAATTTAATGCCACATAAATAATACAGCGTTCCTCAAACGAAACAAAACGAAACGAAACAGTTGAACCAACGTTACTTGAGACATTTTTGTTATATACAAAAAATTGTTTTTTAATCTGAACTCGAAGTTGCTCCTGTATGAGTTATATCTGATGAGAAACTGAAGAAAGATAATTATATAGAATGTTTACCTGCAGGATTCCATGACTGATGTGGGTTGAAAGCATATAGAGCCTTTTGTATATAGTCAGATGGTTCACTTTTAATTCCCGATCCTTCAGATTGTTGAGAAGTTTTATATTGTGTAAAATTTCGAATTTGTTCGGCATAATTATATTGAATATAATCATTATCGTGACTCATGATTTTGAATTATGTATACGAAAATATAAGAATATTTACACTTTTTAAAAATTTAAATTATTTTTATATGTTGTAAAGTAATGGTAAGATATTTTAATTTTATATACCAGTTGAAATGACTCCTTGGATTAACCTACAACTGCTAGTAGATTTCCATGTCGTCATTCATTGTTCCAACCTATTTCAGGAGATTGAGTGAGTAACAAAATTTTATCACGTCGAGGAAATTTCACAACGTTATCACACATTAGCAAAGGTTTTTTTTTCATTCTGTTAAGTATGTAGACAAAGAATATTTCATTTACATAGTTTGTCATATTTACTGAATCTCGGCTAACAAATCACAACAAAAATTTTCGATGTAGTAAATAATCATGAAATATGAATGTAGTTAATGTTTCTTTGTATTTTGATTCCTTGATCAAATTTATAACAATAAATTTTCGGTTTAATTTTTATTTCGATAAAATAAAAGAATTTATTTATAGTTTAAATATAGTATACATAGTTTTGAAAATTAAAAATAATAGATAGTTATAGATACATTTTTATCATATGACACAAAAATAAACAATATTCATTTTACACGAAATTATCTCTTCCTTTTCTTAATTGAATGTATAATATTAATTCAACAGAAGATAAAATTCTTCCTTATTTTTTACGAATCCTTTAATTTATTAGATAAGAGTATATACACAATATGATAGTTTAAATTATATAATGAAATAGATAAAATAAAATAAGTCAATCAATTTTAACAAAATAAATAAGTTGTTATAATAGAAGAATTGATAAAAATATTATACGTTATTCATTAATAACTGACGTTTCAAATCACAGTGCGCTCTTCAACATATTCGGATGTAATGTGTTACAAATAAAATAACGAAAGATTAAGTATCGCACAAAGTTCTCTAATGATTTTCTTGTTCTTTTTGCGTTCCTCTTCCAATTGTGGTTTATCGAATCAATGTTATTTAAGATGTTTTCACCACATACCAAAAGTATCTCTTCTTCGATCTTAATTGTATCTCTGTTGTATCCCTGTATAAATTATTTATTATGAGAAAATGAACAAAAGTTAATTATAAAGTTTACCTGATGCATTCCATGATTCTCCATTTGTTTCCGAAAATGATAATTGAACATTCGAATTCGACAGAGCTTTTGATATGTAATCATCTATTTCACTTTTAATTCTTGCGTCTTTTACTTCTTCACCATTTTTATCCTCAATTGAGTAGTTAGATTGACTCATTATTTTTAATTATATACCTAATAAAATAAGAATAATTATAATTTGAAAGATCATATCAATTTATTTTATGAATGATTTGAATAGAAATCTTGAACTAGTTTTATATCTTGTAATGTAATAGTAAGATATTTTAAACGAATTTCATACCTTTTATTAAATTGTAACAATTGATTTCAATAGTTACTCCAGATGATATAAATAAATTGCAATAGTTTTTTGTAAACCAACGAGTAATGGTAGTTTAAATATAACCAAGACTGCTTACTACTTTGATTTGTATACAAGTGATTACTGTGATATCTTGTAAAGTGATTCATTATAATCATTAGTATTATATACTTTTAGTATATCGTATGGTTATTGCCCATCAGTTAAAGTATAGGAAAAAAACAATGTATCATAATAATAACTTCCTGAATTTTTCTTTCTTCAAAAAAAACGACTCAGTGGAATACTATTCATATTCATGTACATGTGTCAATGTTATCACACATTAAGAATGTTTTTTTTCTTTTAGAGAACAGACAAAAATAATTATATAGACTCACATAACTTTTGAAAGTAAGTATAATAGATATAGAAATGATTTTGATCTGACTAATTAAAACAAGTATGAATATTGGAAATAAATTTTTGATATTTCGAAATTTAATGAGATTATTAGTGGTAGATCTAGGATTTTTATGATGGTGGAGAATGACCGATTTCGATCAAAAACCGTATTGTTACTCCATTTGACATCATCTACCGGTTTTCGGGCTATTTTTCATGATCAATAATAGTAAGAGCATGGTGACCTCTTCAGAAAAATGTATATATAAGATATTAGTGAGTATGAGAAAGAGAAAACTATTGGTTTTTATTTAAACGATAAATTTTTCTTTTTAAAAAAATATGATAAATATAGTTAAGTTAAATAGTAATCAAAAAATACTAGTAAGTGATACTAAAGGATTTTATGATTTCAAATAACACGATATTTGCAGTTTTTATTTATTTAATATGCTCATCGATATCAATATATAATGCATAGTACTTCTCGCACTCTTTTGACATATACATCAAATGTAACAAGTCATTATAGATTTGTAAATAATATATCAAAGATACGTAATAGTAAGTAAAAACTTTTACATCTGTTTATTTCAGTTTTGTTGTATGAAGAAAATTTACTATTCGAATTTTTAATAACTAGAACAGATTTTCTATAGTCGATCAATGGCACTCTTTTATGTTACCAAGAGATTCCAATAATGGAAAAAATCCAGTTGATGAATCACTTCGTGCTAATATTCGATTACTTGGTGATAGTCTCGGAAGAACAATAGGACGTGATTTAGGTGAAGATTTTGTTGAAAAAATCGAAATTATTCGTAAATATGCAAAACGACAAGATCATGGTGTCCAATTACATGAATATTTACGTAATCTTCCCGATAATCATCTATTACCTGTTGCTCGTGCTTTTAATCAATTTCTTCAATTAGCTAATATAGCTGAACAACATCATCGAATCTATTCCCGAAGTATTGATGATGATAATCATAGTAAAGATGATCGAACGGGACTTATGGATATATTTCAACGTATTATAAAAGAAAAATCAAATGGAAAAGAACTGTTATTTGAAACATTTTCTAAAATGCGAATTGAATTAGTATTAACTGCACATCCAACAGAAACTATACGTAGAACATTAATTCGAAAATATGATTTAATTGAAGAATGTTTGGGATTTCTTGAATTATTAAATAGACAACCTAATGATAAATCTGTTTCTAATACAATTCAACGAACTAGAGAACGTCTTGAAGAATTAATTAGTCAAGCATGGCATACCAATGAATTTCGACATGAAAAACCATCACCTGTGGATGGTAAGATCTGATTTTGAGCCTATTAAAATTGGATTCACTGTTTTTTTTTCTTTGTAGAAGCAAAATGGGGTTTTGCTGTTATTGAAAATTCTCTTTGGGAAGCTGTTACAACTTTTTCTCGTCATCTTGATCAATGTCTTCTTGAAACAACTGGTAAACGTTTACCATTACATGCTGCACCTATTCGATTTGCTTCATGGATGGGTGGTGATCGTGACGTAAATTTTTATTTCTATTTTTTATCTTCGATAATTTTTATTTGTCTTAGGGTAATCCAAATGTTACTGCAGCAGTAACACGAGAAGTTTTATTACTTGGTCGTTGGCAAGCCGCTGAACTTTATATATATGATTTAGAAAAACTTATTGAAGAATTATCAATGAAAAAAGCTTCGTAAGTAATATTTTAAGAATAAAATTTTTGATGTTTTTTTCTTCTATCTCATAGAGATGAATTACTTAATTTAATTGATAATAAGAATGCCAATGAACCATATCGTGTACTTTTAAAACATTTGTTACTTCAAGTTCGAACAACACGTGATTGGTTAAAAGCTCAATTAGATAATAAATTATTTGATATTCCAAAGGATATTGAACTTATTCATTCATATAAACAATTACAGAAACCTCTTGAAATTTGTTATCGATCATTATGTGATAATAAACTTGAATTGATTGCTAATGGTATATTATTAAATACTCTACGTCGTTTAGCTTGTTTTGGTGTAACTTCAACCAAACTTGATTTACGACAAGAATCTACTCGACATACACAAGCTCTTGAAGAAATTTTATTATATATTCTACCTGATAATGATAAATATTCCGAATGGTCTGAAGAAAAAAAACAAGAATTTTTACTTAAAGAACTCAATTCAAAACGACCATTAATATCATATCGACAAAAGTGGACAAAAGATACTCAAGAAATTTTAGATACATTTGAAATTATTGGAAAAGAAAATAATGAAGAAGCATTAGGAACTTATATTATATCAATGGCTGGACAACCATCTGATATATTATTAGTAGCTTTATTTATGAAAGAAATGGCTAATGGGAAAATATTACCAGTAAGAATTTTTTTATAAATTAAATAATAATAATATATTATAATTTGTTAAAGATTGCACCATTATTTGAAACATTAAATGATTTGGATCGATCAGGTGATGTTATTAATAGATTATTATCGCTTGAAGGTTATCGAAAACTTATTGATAATCAACAAGAAGTTATGATTGGATATTCCGATTCAGCAAAAGATGCAGGGTATAAAAATATTTGAATTATCATTACAAAAAAGATTCTTATGATATTATTTAGTCAATTAGCAGCTGCGTGGGCACAATATCGAGCTCAAGAACGTTTACTGGAAATATGTCAAAAGCATAATGTTGCATTAACATTATTTCATGGTCGAGGTGGTACAGTCGCTAGAGGTGGTGGACCAGCTCATACAGGTAATACTATTTTTCTTTTTCTCTAAAATAAATTTAAATTTATTTTAGCTATTTTATCTCAACCACCTGGTTCTGTTAATAATAGTATTCGTGTTACTGAACAAGGTGAAATGATTCGATTTAAATTTGGTTTACCTGGTTTAGCAGTTTTATCAATGGAAATTTATGCATGTGCTGTTCTAGAAGCATCTGTACTTCCTAAGCCAAAATTAAAAGATGATTGGCGTGAAGAAATGAATAAATTAGCTAATCGAGCACATCGTACATACAATTCAATTGTTCGTGAAAATCCTGATTTTGTATCCTATTTTCGAAAAATTACACCATTAAATTCACTATCAAAACTTCCACTTGGTTCTCGACCAGCAAAACGAAAACAAGATGGTGGTGTTGAAACATTACGAGCTATTCCATGGATTTTTGCTTGGACGTAAGTTATCATAACATTCAAATGATAATATTAGAATATTCTTTTATAGACAAATTCGACTTATGTTACCAGCATGGTTAGGCACTGATGATGCTTTCGAAGAATTTCTTAATTCAAATCCAGATGGAATGAAACGTTTACGTGAAATGATCAATTCATGGCCGTTTTTTCGAATGTATATAGATATGCTTGAAATGGTTCTTGCTAAAGCTGATGCTGATATTGCCGGTTATTATGAACAACGACTTATCGAACCAAATTCATCAATGAAAAAATTAAGTGAATCATTACGTGAAAGACTCGATCATATACGTAAACTTGTTCTTCGTATTACTGATCAAAAAGAAATCTTAGAACGAGCACCACAACTTGCACATACAATTACTTTACGTAATTCTTATATTGAACCATTACATGGATTACAAGCTGAATTAATGCAACGAAATCTTAATAAAAAGCAAGAAGATATACCTGAAGATATATCAAGAGCAATGATGACTACAATGGCAGGCATTGCTGCAGGTCTTAGAAATACAGGCTAAATTTTAATTTATTTTATTTGTAATTTTTTTATTTTATTGTCTAAGGTTATATTTTAGGAAAAAAAAATCTTTTTTTTTTTGTTATTATTCGAAAGGAATTTTGAGAAAGAATTAAATTCGATGATAAAAAAAAGAGCAGTATAATGATAAACTTTTATATTCTTCACTGAGTCATTAAAATACAGAATAAAGTCTAGTAACAAGTACTTGAAAGAATAAGTAAACAATTATGACATTAATAACAAAGTACAAAGAGTAAATTTTTTTTTCAATACTTGACCTAATATTATGTTAATAAGAAATATAATAAATTAATATACTCAAAAAAATTAATAGATACAAAAATTATCGATAAGGTAACTGCTTTTTTTTTCTTGTTGATCTGTATAGAATAATAACTTTTATTTTAAAGGACAGCGTACGTCAATATATAAGTTTGAAGCGAAAGTACAAAGTACACTCACAAGTGCAAAATAAACCTATCTTTATTATACGTAAATAACTCGTTTTTTTTTTCTTGATAAAGAATAAATATCTATTCAAATAGTGAAACATATATAGTCAATGTCTTCCTAAAATCTTAATAATCAACAGATTTCATACATTAAGTTTAGTTATAATGAGATAAATATTATGTAAATTGATACCTATCATATTTTCTTTTGTTTTTATTTCTTATATTATATTTTGTTTTTGACATACTTCATTGTTTTTTTCGTAGATATTAATAACTTTAGTGTTCTATTGAAAATAAAAATACTATGTCAGTTATTTATCGTCCCGTTGAAAAACATGAACAACAACAAGCAATTGATTTATGGTATATAGTATTTAAACCTCCGCCAGGCTATTTCGAACGTTATTTTAATAAAGAAGCATCACCTCGTTATCAAGAAGGTGATACATTAGGTGCTTGGATTAATGAAAAATTAGTTAGCGCAGTACATATTCGACGTCTTAATATTCGATCTCGTGATGATAATATAGAATATTTATGTGGTGCAATATCCAATGTTGCAACTTTTGAAGAACATCGAAAACATGGTTATTCACGTAATCTTTTACAAATGGCTATTACAAAAATGGAACAAAGTAATGAATTTGATATATCAACTTTATCTACTGGAGTACCAACTCATTATTCCGCACTTGGATGGGAATCAATCTCTTTACCATCACCGATTAGTATTCATTGGAATCATTTTAGTTCATCTTGTGATAGTAATCAATGGAATTCAGTAAACAATATATCTTCATCAAATTATCAACTACTTCTTGATATTCATTCCAATAAACCTCGAACCTATCAATATAATCGATCACCAGTAAATGTGTTTCAATATTGGACGGGTTGGACTTGGAAAAGAGACAATGCAATTATATATTCATTACAAGATGCTCAACAGGGTTATGTTGTTATTACTCATCCAGATAATGTTGATAATATTTATGTATCAGAATGGCGAGCATTAAATGTTGATGCTGAAAGAAAATTATTAAAAGCTGCAGCTAATGAAATTCATCGACGACATTCACAAATAAAAATTATTCGATTTCATACCGCACCACAATATATGAGTTTAGAAGAATTAGAGCAATGGGCTGGTGCAGTAACCGTTAGTAAAAATGATCGTACAATGATTCGAAATATTCGATTATCGCATGAAACTCTCGAAAAAATCAAAGCCGCCTATTTAAGTGGTCATGCTACGTTTTGGCAAGGTGATTATTTTTAAATTAAAACTGAATAGTTTGATGTGTTTTTTTTTAAAATTGTATAATCGGCGTATAATCTTGAAATATTTTCTATAGTAATAATACAACAACATGTTTATATGGTTGAATTTCTATTCTAATTAATACCTTTTAATGAATATTATTTTTTGTTGTATTTATGATAGAGAAATTATCAATAAAGAATGTATAGATAGATCGATAGTGTGTTTTCAAATAGAAATTGGTCAATACATTATAATAATATTTTCGTAGAAGAAAATTTTTCGAGATGATTATTTAAAAGAAATGATAATTTATAAAAAAAACAACAATGAAAAGTATTGTTTGTATAACAAATGTCTATTATATTATTATTATTAGAAAGAGAACTATGGATAGTGGTCGTTTACTAATATAGATTGACTATTAAATGATTTATCACTTGTTGATCTAGCTGAAGTATTACAAATAAAAATTGATTTTATTCATATCACAAAATAACGGAAGTCTATCAAATGATAAGACATATCCAGATGTATATATTCTTTGCAAGCAATCTCAGTCTATTTCTTTTATGCCCTATCATATAGTGAATAGAGATTATAAATATACAAAAACGAACAATCGTCAAAAGAAATTCATTCGTCCGTATACTAAGGTCTAATATAAGCTATTACAGGTTTCATCTCCTTTTTCCTGTTGCTTGTATCTCTTCTATACAACCATACATATACACATGTGCAATTTCTTGCATGAATTAACCCGTACAAAATGTATGTATAAGAAGAAAACACTTGATGATCAGCAATATACAATAATATAGGGTGAGAATAGCTAGACAATGCTTTTTATGGAATTGAGTTAGCAAAAAATGACAGCTGGGTTGGTTAAAAAAAAAAGAAAAAGTTCATTTATGAACGATTGTTTCTCTTTTTTAATGAGTTTTATTATCAAAAAAAAAAAAGATAAAGAATTTATTTCTTTTTCTATATTACATCATTGATGTCCTTGTTTTCTTGCATGCTTATCATAAATATATATATTTATATATAGATACGAGTTTCTAGCCATCTATCACACACCAAGGTCGATGATTTTATTCGATCTGATATCCTATATATAACAAGCTGGGCATATTTCAATTTAGATTTTTCAGTAAGATACTTTTTTTGTTGATATTATCTTCACATATTTGTGTTAAGTGTCATTTACTTGGTTCGTCAATTGACCATCAATAGACTCTCCCATTCTTTTTCTATCTTCTTGTAATATGTATTACAAGAGTCAAAATACTTCAAGTATGAAGACGTACTATCAAAAGAATATGCGGCATTGATATATCTCAGCAAGATACTTGTTGATCGAAAACTCAAAATATATATATGTATGACCAATTTTATTTGATTAGAAGGTACAAAAAGTAAAACGAGTCATCTTGAACGACATAATCATATGTTTGTATGATGTCACATTTCGTTGAGATCAAAAGTAAAAGAATGTGAGCTGGCACGCGCACAGCAGGATATACGCTGTATGTATCTATCTATCTAATTATCTCGAATAGAAGAATGTTTTTCAAGTAAATTGACAAAATATGTCGTTGTTATTATTATTATTTTTTTTTTGAATCTATTTCCGGTATTAAATGCTTCTACTATGTGTATCCATTTCCGAATGCTTTTGACTGACGCCATTAACTATGGTTAAAATATAAATGTGATTATTTCAGGAACAAAAAAAAATATCTTAAAAAAATCATTCAGTATTGATTGTTGATTTAAAACATTATTCTCGTCATTTGTTTTTTTCTCAGACACGAGCTTTTGTTTAGATAGCATAAGGTGTTTTAGCTTGAATAACAACTATATATATATATATATATGTTCATGATTACATTTCACACATCGTTCTATGAGATATGATTGATTTTTTTTTGTTCGTTTTCAATCAATTAGAAAAGTCTGAAGTTAGAGTTTTAAATATTTATAATAAATAATATCAATTCGACGACGCCTATATATTTTCTATCAATCGAGGTTGATTAGAAAAGTATTGTCGCCATTAAGTGGAACGACTTTCTTTTACTCGATTACTTTCAATTTCAATGCTAAGTTATTATTGTCAATATGAAATGTGAAATTTGTTTGAATGTAAGCGCACTATCAGAAAAGAGAGAGAGCCACTTATTCTCGACGACAATGATCAGGAGTTTAAAATGCATGATGTGAAAAGTGTATGAGCAAAAAAGTCGGCACATATAGACACCAGCACAACAACTAGTTCAATGACCTACTCGACAAGTGAAAGGAGCGCTTATTGATCGGGAGGAGGCAATGATTGATAATCTTTTCCCAGCATTATTTTGGCAATAAAACAAAATCAATTTTTTAAGATGAACTTCATATGTAAATAATAGTTCTAATATTTCCTCAAAGAAGAAAACAAGATAAAAAATTCATTCAATTCACAATACTATGAACTGCGTATAACTATATCGATACATCCAATAGAAAAAAAGGAGAGAGAAATATAGAGAAAAAAAGAAAGAAATCATTAACATAAACTAAATATATATATTGACCAATGGTCGTATTGATATGAAGAAGAAAAAAAACGATTTTCTATTTGTAAACTTGTCTTAAGGCCATATCATAAAAAATTATTCATATAGACGAACAACAACAATATGGTTCTATTGCCGTATCATCAGGTAAGATTGATTATTTATGTTGAATTGCAAAAAAGCGGAACCCGACTTTTGAAAAATATATACAATCATTTCTTTTGCTTCTTCTTCTTCTTCTGAAGATAGATGAGATTCACTTTGCTCATATTACAAGACTAGAAAAAAAAATTGCCGCTTTACATGGTTATATTATCTTCTAATGAATAGACAATAACTAACTGCTTGAACGTGTGTCATATTTCTCTAGATTTTAATGAGAAAAATTTGTATAATAAATAAACGTTCTACTTAGTTTTATTTCTCTATAAAACTAAATTGTATAGACTTGTCAATTGAAAATATCACACTTTTCTTGAACTGACTTGCATCGTTAAATAGATAAGAATCTGCCACACTTCCTTTGAATCAAGTCTTACTGTATATATATATATATATATGTATGTGTCGCTAGAGGGTATTTAGATAGAAAGTCGATAAACTACATAGTGATTCGGTAACGCCAATGAGCATCTTCTTCTTCTCTTTACTTTTGACAATAAAACTATCTGTCTGACGAAGATGTGTTTTTTCAAAGGCGTGAAAATCATTTCCCTTAATGCGTTGCATATATATATATATTAACATACGAAATAAAATAGAAAAAAAAATTTATGAAGATGTCACCGCGCGTGATACTGCGTCAAGCTTCGTTAGGCACAATCAATAAAATCGCAATCGAATATATGAAGACTGTCAATGCATTACGTGATATAGCCGCCTCCCCAAGAGAGAGAAATGTGTTTTTTTTTGAAATTATCTATTCAGAACAGCAATGAAAAATGAAACATAGTTATTTAACAAAAACTAATAATCATTTTTAACAAGAGTGTGAGAAAAATCTTTCATACTTTAGAAAAAAAAGATTAGATGAAAATATGCTTGTGTAATTATAGTAAATATGTAATTAAGATTTCTACTCTTTGACAACATACTGATGAAATATTTATAAAAAACAATTTTGTTTGAATTATTTTTTCTAATGAAAAATTACAAAATATTTAGAATTATATGATAAGTTAATTGGATTGTATTTCTAGACATCTACTCATATAGATAATTAGGATTTTTCTTAAGTTGATATAGAATATGAGAAATATTGCATCAATATGTACTTAAATGGAATTATATTTCAAACCCTTTATTTAACGAGAATGATCGAATATCAAAATTAAATTTTTCCTAATCAAGAAATGATTCATATTTCTTTTATAATCAGAGATTATTATAATGTATTGCTACCTTACCATGAATAAATAGCGTTTTAATATAGACGAAAAAAAGAATTTTTTTTCTTTCCGGATTACAAAAAATAAAAAATAGTATTTTCTGCATCTCATCACATCACCTGTCTTAAAAGAAGCTTACGATTTTAAGATTGACTATGCCTTGATACATCATCATCACCTGTTCACTCGCTTGTCGGCTTATCTGACGAATTAATGAATTCAAAACTCGTTGTATGGCTCTTGCAATGTTTATGCTTCCGTGTACACCCATCGCCAATCCTACTCATTTTTTTTCCTTTTTTTTTCTTCTTCTTCTTTTTCTTGATCTCTTCATCGCGTACAACAACACTTGAGACACTCTTGGACATTTTTTTTTGTCAATCTATGTATATGTACAAATGTAGACGTTGTTTTCATTGATAGATCTCTCTGTTTTACACTTCCGGTGGCATACTCTTTGTATTATGCGTGTAAGCATGTTTGCAAATGCTGACCGCTATCCCGGATATTGGCTTAGTTGCGAGCTGCTTCTTTTCTTTCTCTTTCCTTTACTATTACTAATAGCCGGAATCAATGATGATGATGATGATGATGATGATGATGATGGTAGTAGTAGCAGCAACACTAGAACGTTTGAAGAAAAAGAGAAAAACGAACGAGCATGCTACAAACATCCTCATATATATCGTCGCGTCAATCATACGATGAGTTTATTAGTAGCAGCTACTTTTCTTTTCCGTTCGCTTTTTTTTGGATCGGACGCATGAGAAAGAAAGGAAAGACACAGAGAAAGAGACAAGGGAGAGAGAGAAGAAAAGAAGGGAAGAAAAAAAAATCGTTCACCCAATCGCTGATGCCCGAGGACGAGGCAAATTTTGCCGATTGGCTTGTACGAGCTTGTATGATGCCGGAGGGCACGATTGGTCGAAAACAGAGAACGAACAAATATAGAGAAAAGGAATCTGCTTGGCTTAGTGCATATACAACAAGTTTTGCTTAACGAACAAAAAAAAAACGGAATTCGTATGTGTATTTTATCGATGATGTAAAATATTTATTTATTTTCTTT